AGACACATGTGCATATATGGACATTCAATGTCCATATTATGATAAGAAAGAAAAACAATGTCCCTAGACTAAGTTAACATGTAGTGCGTCCATTATTATACAGTTAAACGTTAATAATGCATGTACATCTGTTGTAAAGACCTTCTTGCTAAATTCCCTGAAACTAGTACAAGTAATAATTATACAGACTTAATAAGATATGATAGTGTAATTCCATTAACACTGGCTCATGTACACTGTACATGTACTTGTACATAAATATAATAATAATAATCACATTTATTTATATATACATGTAACAAATAGATGTAGCATTACAATTATATTACAATCTTAAATATATTAATGTTAATAAATAATGAAATTATACTGGCCATAGTTGTACATGTGTTACGATTATGTTAATTAAAGAATAATAATAATAATATAACAACATTGAAATGGTATTGTAAGATTATAATTTGATGTTGAGCCAATAAATTAGAAGATGAAACGGCCGAAATTCTCTCCTTCTCCTTTCCTCCCTCCCTCTCTCTCTCTCTCTCTCCCTCCCCCTCTCTCTCTCACTTTAAAAGGTGTGAAGTCCAACAATAAAAGAAATATATATGTATACAAAACTTCAAATGAACATAAACTTGAGATGACTTCCCCAAACAATACAAATTCTCAAATTTGCATGTTACATGTTGTTATGTGTCTATGTGCCTACATGCAGTCAGTTGGCAACACAGTTACATGTACATGCATTACGCTGAATGGGGAGGCCATAAAATATAAAGACAATGTCGCTCCTTTTGATGAGCAGTAATAGTCAAAATCATTTTACAAAACATGTTACTTTGATGTGGTAGAACCGCACATGTACATGTATTTATAATGGGAAATGATGAATACTTGTACAGTGTAGCCTCTTTATTAAGGACACCATTGGGCCCACACTACCTGTCCTTAATACATGTACAGTGTAGCCTCTTTATTAAGGACACCATTGGGCCCACACTACCTGTCCTTAATACATGTACAGTGTAGCCTCTTTATTAAGGACACCATTGGGCCCACACTACCTGTCCTTAATACATGTACAGTGTAGCCTCTTTATTAAGGACACCATTGGGCCCACACTACCTGTCCTTTATACAGAGGTGTCCTCATTTCAGAGGTACTTTTGTATAGGCTTGTATCACCTAAGAAACTACAAAGCACCTTCATTATAGAGGTGTTCTTCCTCAATATAAAGGATACTCTACAGACTACACAGACAAAGAGTCAAAGTGAGACTCTTTAGGAAGACGTTAGGATTGAATTACAAATTAACTAAATTTGTTTGATGTCTACATGTACATGTACATGAAGTTACCATGGCAACGCATTATCAAGGCTTGGAAAACCCTCCAATTCTTTCCAGGAGTCTTTACTCAGTGAACTGACGTCTCCATGGATAAACAAACGCAAGTGGGCAGGGTCTGATAAATACTCCTTGATCTTTATCATATCATCAAGGATGGCCGAAGATCCTTCCGGAGCTTTAAGTCGTTCTTGTAACTCGTTTAAGAACTTTAGCTGTGTGACCATGCTACCCAGGTTCTTGTTGCTATCTGGTGGGTGTGGTCAATCAGTTACTATGGCAACGGGTTTCGTACCTTGAGTGAGTGACATGTGACGGAGGAGGAGCTTAGTGACGCAGCGTCCCTCTCGTTTCATTCTAATTAAAGAGCAGCAGGTTATGAAAAAGATCAACATACTATATGTAGCAGTCAAGCTGCCATCTTAAATTTAAAATAAAATGCATTCAAAATTTAATAAATAAATTATAATTTATATGTACATGTACATGTACATGTACATACCGGTTAACATCATTAATCATTTTGTTGGAGACAATAGATATTCTATCAGTAACAAACTGTATTGAATATAAGACAGTCTTTAACCAGGAGACACCAACTGAATATTTACTGAGCTCAACCTGAGAGAGAGAGGGGGAGGGGGAGAGGGAGGGAGGGAGAGACAGAGAGAGACAGAGAGAGACAGAGAGAGTGAGAGAGAGAGACAGAGACAGAGACAGAGAGACAGAGAGACAGAGACAGAAGAAGAGAGAGAGACAGACAAAGAGTAACTGTACAGTACATA